ACTCCTGTCTCCGTCCGTCTCACTCCTGTCTCCGTCCTTCTCACTGGTATCGTTCTGTGAGTATTGATCTGCGGGCCGGTCGTGATTAGAAGCAGGTTTGCAGGCATAACTACACTGCAGTGAACCCGTCTCACTGTCTACTGTGAAAGAGATCGGCAGCAGAGAGCGACGACAGCGACTGCATCTGAAACACACCGGCAGACGATCGGGACAGTGAGTGTGAGAGACAGTTTGTATGAGTATGTACAGGTTTATCTATACCTGTGAGGGTCAAATGTCCTCACTTATATACTGAAATATCACGACAAACGACAAGGAATATTTGACTGGTCTTCACTAGTTAAAGGTTTCTGTGATGGTTATGTTTAGGGGTCGGGTTAGGTCATAAAAATATCACTAATCTGATATAAAAACAGTGGAAGTCATGGAAGTCTATATGCAATGTTTTCACTAATACAGTGAAACAAACGTGTGTATTTAGAGAGTGTGTGTGTGTTCAGTGTTTGTGTGTTTGTGACAGTGTGTGTGTGTGTGAGTGTGTGTTTTACCTGAAGCAGGAGCGGTGATACAGGTGTCCCTTCACCAAAACCCTCTGAATGAGATGAACACGCGTGTGACAGACACTACAGACTCTTTTATCTGACGATCTGACCACATCTGATGAGAACTGAGAGAATGAGAGCAGAATGATGAGTTATCAGACAGACAGAAATGCAGACAGATGGACAGACAGACGGGTGAAGAGATGGACAGACAGAAGGACAGGCAGCCAAACAGACAAAAACAACAACAACAACAACAAAAAAACAGGCAAGTAGATAGATAGATACCCGAGTGTGTGTCTGTTCTTGTCTTTTGGTGCTGCTGGATTCATTGTTCACAGGAATCTTCTGACTGACTGATGAAAATACAGAGAGTATCTTCAAATTTCAGCTCTAATAAATCATGATGAACATGCAAATTCTTTAACGGTCAATGGTCTCTCATGATCAGTACCGTGAGAGTTTCCTCTGAAGACACAGTAGATCTGAGAGACATAAGTGATGATGGACAGTAGATCCGGCTCCTCCACAGACACCAGCTCATCCGGATCTAAAAGAGCAGGAATTCCCAGCTCACGCTCCGCAACGTCAAACGCCTGATGAAGAGGAATAAAGTACATGAGATAGATAAATCACTCAACACATTCATCACAGGTATCACAGGGAGCTTCTCTGGAGCAAAAACCTGATATCTGAGATCGTTTATTACAATTTCTAAGGATAAATGAAGCTCTTTGAGTGTTTTTCTGAAGAGACTCCGTCTCACATGTGATGTTTCAGTCTCTTTAACAACAGGAACTAAAGTTCAGCTGATGTCTAAACTCACAAGACGCATGTTCTCGTAGACGTTGTGTTTGGACAGGGAGTGAAAATCTCTGCAGAGAGAAACAAACAGAG